GCAATTTTCATCGTCGAAGGGAAGAACTCCAGTCTTATAACTGCGTTAAAAATGTCTTTTATAAACCTAATCGTATTGTCTGGCAGCTCTTTTAGTGTTTTACCACTGATTTGATCATAGCCCGATGTCCTTTTGTCTTTGACTTTTAATATTTGTTTCCTTGTTTCATGTATCGTCGTTTTTCTGATTGCACAGTTGGGTTTGGGTAAATGTGATGGAAGCTCAATTATTTGGTTGTCCATACTGTTCGTAAAAATTTCCTCAAAGTGTTCGGCCAGTGTGTCAGCTTTTTCTATGTTTGTTCTTGTCCATGAGTTTTTCTTTGTCTTTATTGGGTGTTTATGTATAGTTGTTTTTGTCATTTTTTTAGTCGCTTTCCATAGGGAGTAGTTTGTAGATGTCGTTGTTCCTGCCATATTTTCCTTAGTTGGCGTTTATGTTTGATTTTGTCTTTTATGTTTGATGGAGTCCTTTTGGTTATTACCGGAGTCGATTGCCATAGAGCTTTAATTATGTTGTCGTTTAAGTGCATTATAGCAGAGTCTAGTTCTTCGTTTGCTTTTAGGGAGGCCATGGCATCCATGTTGTCAAGTAATATCTCCCTGAATAGGTTCCAGTTCGTTTTGTGGTTGTGGCTCGGAGTGTTGCTTGTCAGGTCTGGTGTGCTTTTTATGGTTACTAAGATTGGTGAGTGGTCTGATGATAGGTCCAGGCTTGACTTTATTATTATGTTTTGGTGTGACAAGTTTTTGGTAATGCAAAAGTCAATCAAGTCGGGAAGTTTTTTGTGTCAGTTGGCCAGAAGGTTGGCTCTCCTGTACTTATTGTACGGCTTTGATAGCTTCGTATAGTTATCTTCCCTTTGCATTTGTCAGACGCTATCCCCAGATGGCATGCTTGGCGTTATAGTCTCCTCCCGCCAGGTATTGATTCCCAAGCGATTTTTGGTAGTCTAGGTATTGCTCTTTCGTGTTAATAAATTTGGGTGGGCAGTAAACAGCCGAGATGTTTAGTTGTCCCGATTAGTCCGAGATTGATATTGTCGTTGCTTGTATGTTTGCAGTCTTATAGCATTCTACCTCTACACATTTTAAGTCATTTTTGATTATGATTGCTGTGCCTCCATGGGCTTTGTTGTCTGGGTGGGTTGTGTAGAATATATTATATTCAAGAATGCTGATGTATGTTTTGGCTGTGGCGTGGGTCTCTGAGATGAGCATAATGTCAATCTGGTTTTCTTGTAGGAAGTTCTTTATTTCTAGGATATGGCGCGATAGTCCATTTGCATTCCAGATTGCGATGATCAAATTATTGTTTGTCAAGTTTGGATACAAGTATAGGTAGTAACTATGATCATCATGCTCGACATCCGTGCAATCAGTTGTTTCATAAGTGTCTTCAGCTCTTGCATGTCCTTTTGTTGTTGGTTATTGTTTGCGTTTATTGGGATGAACGGCTCGTCGTTGTGTAGGAAAGTTTGGTGGGTTGATGTTGGAGGTTTGTTTTTTGTAGAGCTTCTGCGTATGATATTTTGGGATTGATCAAGTCAGGTGTAGTTTTTGTGGCAACTTCGGGTGGCGTTAGGACTTGTGGTATTTCTTTTTGCCGGAGACTAGGATATTTTTTGAGTTGTAGGGCTTTGTAGACCATACAGCCTTTATAGTTGGAGGTGTGGTTCTCGGTACAGAGAGCGCATTTTATTTGGCTCTTGTCAGAGGTGGTTACTTGTAGGTGGCAGTTGGCTGATTAGTGCTTACCAGCACATTTTACGCAAATGGGATCTCTCGTGCAGTAGTTTCTTGTATGTCCGTATTTTTGGCGGTTTGTACATTGCGGTTGTTGAAAGCCAGGCATCCATTAGCTAATAAGCTTTTTTATTAGCTGTGGAAATTAAAGAATTAACAAAAAATTTGAGTTCGATTTATGCGAGAGCAGCGATTTTATTTCGACGAAAATGAGTTATAAATGTTCCGAGAGATCGAAAGGAATTAATACAATTGAATTGCTGACCGAAAGTATAAAGCAACAAGCAACGAGAGAGAGCGAATAGAAAGATAAAGAGAGAGAGAGCGATGGTAATTATGCAGATAAGCTAAGAGCTAGCATTAAGAGAATCTACATATCTGCTGCGTCTGGATGACCCGACATACTCCCCCCGTTGGAAGCCTGGCTTTCAACAGCATCCTTAAGGGGTAGCAGACACAGCTTATTAACTGCTCGTTTTGTCACTCCAGATGTTGTCTTGAGTACGGCAACTCGAGCAACTCCATCTCGACCACACAGAAGCTCAACGACTCTCGCTAGGGGCCACTTCATCGGAGGCAAGTTCTCATCCTTAACCAGCACCACGTCACCGACAACTAGGCCAGGCTTCGGGGTACGCCATTTGGAGCGCTGCTGCAGTAGCGTCAGGTATTCTTCCTTCCATCGCGTCCAGAAGACCTGCTGCAAGTAGGCCACACGTTGCCAGCCTTCCAACCGATTGAAGTTAAGGTCGGTCACATCCGGCTCGATGAATGAGGATGGTGGGCCACCATTCAGAAAGTGGGCTGGCTTTAGCACATCCAGGTCAGCGGGATTTTCTGAAATTGAAACCAAAGGCCGGGAGTTAACTACTGCCGAGATATGGCACAGAAGAGTCCGCAGCTCGTCGAAGGCAAACACTGAAGGCCCAATAGCGCGGTAGAAATGGTGCTTCGCCGTCTTCACCGCAGCTTCCCAAAGACCACCAAAATGTGGCGATCTGGGAGGAATAAAACGCCAATCAATAAGCTCCGCTAGGCAAAAATCCAACGTCGCTTTCTGATGCTCGTCGCTGAGGAACAGACGTCTCAACTCAATCAGCTCATTGCGTGCACCCACAAAGTTCGTTGCATTGTCCGACCAAATCTGCCGCGGTTTTCTTCTGGTGCATATAAATCTCTTGAGGCCATGCAAAAAAGATACCGTTGAGAGATCCCTGATCAACTCCAAGTGAATGGCCTTTGTTGCGAAGCAGATAAAGACGCAAACGTAGCATTTTACTGGGGCCTTGTTTCGCACTTCCGGCTTGTAAAAGAATGGTCCACAAAAGTCAATGCCAGTGACTTCAAATGCATGAGAACCATCCAATCGATCCTTTGGGAGATCCGCCATTACATGCTCCACTAATCGAGGCTTAGTTCGAAAGCATCTGACGCATTTGTTCAAAACCTTGCTTACCGTCTTCCTCCCCCAATAGGCCAATACTGGGACCGAACTATGCAGAGTAAGGCTCGAGGTCCAGTGTGCAGATTGCGCTCATGAAAGTGAGTAACGATGGCGGCAGTGACAGGATGGCTCCGTGGCAATATGATTGGATGACGGGCATTGAAATCCAGCGACGAGTTCCTTAGTCGGCCATCCACTCTAAGAAGCCCAAACTGATCAATAAAAGGAGATAGAGATTCAAGCGAACTAGATTGGGCTACTACTCCTTTAGACTGCAAGGATTTAATGTCTTCCCATAAATGAGAACGCTGAACCAGACGAAGCAACAACTGAGTACCGCTTTGGATATCCGAAACCTTAAGATCCGGCTGCGAATGCGATTGATAAATTTAAAGACGTATCCGAAAATCCTTTGAAGCGAAGCGAAGGAATTTGCAAATTTGAATCAGGCTATGTGTTATGTATAATGTAAACTCGCTACACAAACATCCAAAACTTTTTGTAATCCTTCATTCTATAAGCACACACATGTATACACACACACGTTTCTCTCGCTACTCTCTAAATAAAGTCAGTCTGTACCAAGCACTCAACGAGATCACTTCGACCATATACAACATTATTGGCGACGAGGATTAAAGGAATCTCAGCCGCAAGAAAGCAACATTCTTGTGTAAATCGTATAATATCGTGTCGCGTAGTCTTTGATTTTCATCAAGATGCCGGCAGATGAGAACTTAATCGAGAAAATACTTGCTCAACAGCAACAATTTACAGCAACTATTATGGAACAACAACGAAACTGGATGCAAGCAATGCTAGAAAAAAACGCTTCTCCAGGTGCTAGTGATTCATGCCACGCGGGTGAATTATCTATGTGTCCTCCGTTCCACAAATTCGACAAAGACAATCAAAATTGGGAGTCATATCTGGAACAATTATCGCAGCACTTCAACGCATATTCGGTTAGTGCAGAACAAAAACAAAAAGCCTATTTCCTTTCATGGTGTGGTGTAAATATATTCGAACTATTAAAAAATCTGTTCGGGAGTAACAATTTGAATACATATTCTTACAAAGAGCTCACAGACAAGCTCACGGAGCATTTCACCACAAAACGTCATATTGTAGCAGCTCGCTACGAGTTTTTCAAGAGGGAGATGAAGCATTCACAAACACATAGAGAGTGGGTAGCCGATTTGCGCGGGATCGCTCGTGAATGCGAATTTGTCTGCAGCAGAAGTGGATGCTTATCAAATTATGTAGATGAGATGATAAGAGATCAGATCATAGTACATACTCCGTATGATGCAGTCCGGGCATCTGCTCTTCAAAAGTCAAAGCCAACTCTTGAAGATGTACTTTTAGTTGCAGAAACCTACGAGACAACAACAAAAACCGTTGCAGCGCTAAAAGAGAACATAAACAAACAGGATCCAATCAATGCGATCCACACGTACACAAAAAAGTTTGCAAAAAGTGGAAGTGATGCCAATTCGTTCAAAAGGGATTTAAAATCGTGCTCTGGTTGTGGACAATCTCACCAAAGAGAGAACTGGAAATTCAGAAACGCCGTATGTTACAAGTGTGGTAGAAAAGGTCATATAGCAGTCGTCTGTATGTCAAAGAATGTCCAGTCAAATGCCAAAGGGCCTGGTCAAGCAAATAACCGTGAAGTCAAGTCCAGCAAGAACGAAGCAAACGAAGTCGAAGCGATCGAAGCAGTATACAGTGTCACAGGTCAAGTAAAATGTCAACAAAACAGAAAAGTCATTGATCTCGAAATAATTAACCAAGTAATTTCATTTCAAATGGACTCCGGAGCAACAGCATCCGTGATCAACTCCAATACATACGCACTGCTGAAGAAGCCAAAATTGCACAAGTGTTCTCGAGTTTTACATGCGTTTGGACATACACCAATACCATTGCTAGGGGAGCTGCACACTGTCGCAAAGCGCGGGGAGAAAGAGAAAGAAGTGGTCTTAATTGTGGCAAATATAGAAACTTCGACCAATCTCTTCGGCATGGATCTATTTAACATTTTCGGATTCGATATCATGCAAGTATCGAACATTTATGAGGTGCATAATGACAAAATAAGTGACCTCTGCAACAAATACAACGAAGTGTTTGAACCAGCTATGGGTGTCATTAAAAACTTCAAAGCCACCGTATTTCTGAAATCGTCAGCAACGCCAAAGTTTTATAAAAGCCGCCAAATTCCGTTCGCTCAGATGGACAAATTTAAAGCTGAAGCAGACAGACTCACACAAGCTGGAATTTGGAAACCAGTCAAGTTCAGCAATTGGGCATCCCCAATTGTGCTCGCACCTAAGCCAGGTGGCGATATTCGTATTTGTGGCGATTTTAAACAGGCAGTCAACGCAAAAATCGACGTCGAACAGTATCCAATACCAACAAAAGAAGCTCTATTCCACATCATTCGTCATGGAAAGCAGTTCAGCAAGATAGACCTCAAGGACGCCTATCTTCAGATGGAATTAGATGAGGCTTCAAAAGAAATCATGGTGGTTAACACACCACTGGGCCTATTTCAGTATCAGCGCCTTCCTTACGGGATTCCAAGTGCACCAGCCATTTTTCAAAGATACCTTGAGCAACTTCTAAAGGGAATAGAAGGTTGTGGCAACTATTTAGATGATATCATCATCTCAGCACCTACAAGCGAGGAACATCTGAACCGAATCGACCAAGTTCTCAGCACTCTTCAAGCGAACGGCATCAGATGCAAAAGGCAAAAATGCTTTTTTTTCAAGGACGAAATTGAATATTTAGGGCGAAGAATTAGCGCAAACGGATTTCTTCCAGACAGCTCAGGCTTGGAGGCTGTAAAACTGTTGAGACCGCCTTCCAACTTACAACAATTGGAAGCATTCATGGGTAAAGTCAATTATTATTGTAATTTTATTCCGAACTATTCGCAGTTGGCTGCTCCATTGAACCAGCTTCGCAGGACAGATGTAGCCTTCTTTTTTGGTCCACAACAGCAACAAGCATTTACAGCTCTTAAGTCCCACATTATCAACGCAACGCAGCTAGCTCACTTTGACGAAAATTTACCGCTAGTGCTCGCTACAGATGCCTCATCCTTTGGCATCGGGGTAGTCCTTTCACATCTTCAGCCAGATGGAGGAGAGAGACCCATTGTTTTCGCATCTAAGACACTCGACAAGCATCAGGTTAAATACAGCCAAATCGAAAAGGAAGGACTTTCCATAATATTTGGAGTAAAACGTTTTCACCAATATCTTTACGGAAGAAAATTTATCCTGATCACAGACCACAAGCCGCTTGTTACCATTTTTAATCCAGGCAAGCATCTTCCGTTGATGACGTCAAACAGGCTACAGCGTTGGGCCATTATTCTCTTGGCCTACAAATTCGATATCCAGTATCGATCCACATCTGCTCATGGTAATGCGGATGCCCTTTCTCGCCTTCCAGTGGGTACAGATCCAGATTTCGATAAAGAAGAGGAAGCTTGCCATACTGTAGTCGAAGTGTCAACACCGATAAATTCAGAGCTCATTTGCAACCACATGGACAGAGACGAACTCCTCAAACAAGTCCTGCAGTACGTATCTGTAGGATGGCCAGAAAAACTTCAGCCAGGCAACGAAGCCCTATTGCCTTACTTTAACCGAAAGTTGGCTCTTACTCTCAACAAAAAATTGCTTTGCCTACACACAGACGCAAATCGTGTAGTAATTCCAGCCAGTCTACGTGCCCATATCCTAAAACTCTTACATGAAGGACATTGGGGCATTGTTCGAATGAAGCAGTTGGCAAGACAACATGTTTGGTGGCCTACCATTGACGAAGACATCAAAAGCCTGGCCCAGTCATGCAGCATCTGCAAGTGCAACAATCCTGCACCACCAAGAGAGTACCAAAGTTGGCCAGCAGCAACAACAGCATGGGAGCGAATTCATATCGACTTCGCCGGCCCAATCTTTGACGCTATGTGGCTCATATGTGTAGACGCCTTTTCACAGTTTCCATTTGTAATCCAAATGTCGTCTACAAAAACCGCCAACACGATCGCTGGATTGTCTTCGATTTTCGCCATCGAAGGATACCCGAAAACCATGGTTAGCGATAATGGTCCTCAGCTTACAGCTGACGCCTTCGAAGAATTCTACAAACTGCACGGTATAAAGCATATTACCACAGCACCATTCCACCCAGCATCCAACGGATTAGCAGAACGTTTTGTGCAGACGTTCAAATTTGCAGTCAAGAAGAACCTCCAAGACGGTATACCACTTAGGGTGGCTGTAACTAAATATCTTTCTTCTTACAGGTTCACTCCAAATGCCCAAGGTAAAACTCCTGCCGAGTTAATCCACGGTAGACCAGTCCGCACCGTGCTTAGTCAACTTTTCGAGAAGCCTGTCGAGGCTAAACAAACAAACACCAAGTACATCCCTAATCAAATGGTATACGCTCGAAACTATTCAAGGGGAGAAAAGTGGATTGAAGGCATAATCGACCGTCCAGTTGGAAAAATGCTTTTCATCATTCGCACCTCAAATGGCTATATCAAGCGCCATTTCAACCAGCTGAAACCGAAGTTGTCAGCAAACAACTCCATCGAGAAACCTCCAGAGTTTTGGTGGATTCCGGAACTGCCAAAGCCATCCTTAAACCAAGAAATACAGCGACAAGAACAACCGCCAACTCCGCCAGTTGTTCAGCGACCTGATCCTGCTCCTGTGTCTGGCCCTCCTGAACGCGCAGCAGCCCCTACCCAGCAGCCGAGACAAATACAATCTACACAACGTAGTTCCGGCATACCAGTACGCCAAAGCAGCCGTGTTCGCCAGGAAGTCGATCGTTTTAAGCCAAAGGACTTCAGACGATCTAAAAACATTAATAATTCCTAATTAAAGGAAGAGATGTGTTATGTATAATGTAAACTCGCTACACAAACATCCAAAACTTTTTGTAATCCTTCATTCTATAAGCACACACATGTATACACACACACGTGTCTCTCGCTACTCTCTAAATAAAGTCAGTCTGTACCAAGCACTCAACGAGATCACTTCGACCATAAACAACACTATGATGTCTACGTATGGCGATTTAATTAGCAGGACCTTTCGACGAAGCTCAAGTGTTGACTTCTCAGCAAGGATTGGGGGAGGCCAGTCAATCTTGGGTCTGCAAAGAAATGTCGGCCCGTTATACCATATAGGGGACTCGCTCAGCTCAGTGGGAAGGACACCTCGGGCGAGAATGTCAGCCGGTTCGCTCTTGGATGGCAGCAACTCGGTTTGCCACAAACATGTTGAATCTGGAGAGCTCGTCTCGGATCCAGGACAGCGCAACCGCAGAGTCACTCCAACAATAATACTGTCCCTTAAACAAGACAGAAAAAGAGAACAATAGCTGATCAGAAGCAGGATCCCAGGCGTCATCAAACTTCAAATATGACTCCTTTTCTTCGTCAGATACTCCACACAAAGCCGCTGGCACGTTTGAGCACCACTTTCTAAGTTTAAAGCCTCCTCTGGACAGAATTTTAGAGGTCTGATCTACAATGATGATAGCCTCGTCCACGGTCTGGACTCCAGATATCAGATCATCTACGTAAAAGTCGCGCTGAATGACCTCAGCTCCAAGCGGAAACGAAGAATGCTCGTCTCTTGACAGCTGATGCATAGCCCGCACAGCCAGAAATGATGCAGGCTTCGTGCCATAAGTGACGGTGTCCAGCTTGAATACTTGCAGCTTGTCCTGTGGGGAAGTCCTCCATAAAATGCATGGCAAATAGCTGTCCTCTGGATGTACCTTGACACAACGGTACATCTTACAAATGTCTCCAGTGATGGCTACCGGGTATGAGCGAAATCGAATTAAAATCTGGAACAGGGTATGTTGAATTACGGGGCCTGCCATGAGCAAATCATTGAGAGAGTAGCCTGATGAAGTAGCGGCAGATCCGTCAAAAACTACGCGAAGTTTTGTAGTGGAACTATCCTCCTTTGTGACGCAATGATGAGGCAAAAAGAAGCGACAAGAAGCGAGGTCTGCGCCAGCAACTGTTGACATGTGCCCCAAGTCAAAGTATTCCTTTATAAAAGCCGCATATTGGGCCTTCAAGGCTGGCCGACGATCTAGCTTCCTCTCTAGGGATAGGAATCTACGATAAGCTTGCTGGTAGGACTCACCCAATAATTCCAGGTTGAGCTTGGCAGGCAAACGAACAGAATAGTCTCCAGCAGGGGAACGAATGAAATGCTTTTTAAAGTGCGCCTCACAGTCCAGTTCTTCCTTAGTAGCATGCGCAATTGGCTCCACGCAGCTTTCCACCTCCCAAAATCGACGAAGAAGATCATCAAGTCGATCTAAGCTATTATCCCTACTAACGATAGGTAAAGGAATGGTCGAGATTAACGATGAGCCATTGGAGACGCCATATCCTCCGGAAACAACCCATCCCAGGCGAGTTTTTTGTATAAGTGGTAATCCAGGTGGGAGCTTAATTTGCCCAACGCACAACAGCTCGTAAAACAAACTGGCTCCAATCAAGAGATCCACACGCTAAGGAACATAAAATGTAGGATCAGCTAATTGTATGTTTTGCGGTATTTTCCAGCTGCCGATGTCCACATTGAAACTAGGCTGTCGCTCAGTTATATTGGGAGCAATAACTGCGGTTATGTTCACCGTGTATTCAGAGGTTCGGGACTGCATCGTAATATTGACTGAGTGACCATTGGTAACAAAGCTGGAATCACCTATTCCAGTCACAGAAGCCGAAGTCTTTATCTTCTTTATTTGAAGCTGATCTGATGTTATTAGATGCAGCTGAGAGCCGGAGTCAAGAAGGACTCGACATGGAACGAAAACTCCAGACCGATTTTTTTATGAGAACAGTGGCAGTGGCTAGGAGCACATTGTCAGTACTGAAATCCTGAGCAATAAGAGCAGTGGATGTGGAAGGCACGGCAGATGGTTCTACGACAGCATTGAGTGAGACAGCGGCAAGAGCTTCTGGAAGCTGTGATCCTGCCTGTGGAGAAGCTGAGGCTAAATTTCCCAAGTGAAGGAGGGTGTGGTGTTTAGCTCCGCATGTACGACAATTGCTGGAATTGCACTGCCTTAATTGATGCCCTATCTTAAGGCAGTTTATGCAAAGAGAGCCTCTTTACATCTTGAAGCCGATTTGCAGGGGGCAGGGCAATAAAAATCTTGGCAGTAATGAATGGAGTGACCATTCATTCGTCGGAATTAGATTGATGAATACTGGATCCTCTAAACGCTCCTCCCATTTGGCCTAGCTTGCAGGATCTAGCTTTTGAAGCAGTATTTGAACGATGATGCATCCTGCGATTTGTTCCGTCGTGCCCAATCCCTTTAGAGCACGAATATGAGCGTTAAACTTATCGGACAGCTCACGAAGCATCGAGACGGAACCACTCTGCACTGTCTTAAGCCCCAGGATCTCAGTAATATGTGCCTGAAAAACTAAACGACGATTATCAAATCTTTTTTGCAATAAGTCCAATGCCACAGAATAATTGCCATCCGAAATTTCCAGCGAGCGGATGGTTTCCAACGCAGAATCCCTCAGGCATGAACGTAGATGCTGCAGCTTTTCTATGTTGGTCAGGTCAGGATGACTGTCTATGATGGATGTAAACATGGAATAAAAATCTGTCCAATTCGCATAACCTCCAGCGAATTTCGGAAATTCAAGAGCGGGAAATGGAATCGCTCGGCGAGTTTGTCGCTGCTGATGGCCGGAAAGACCTGGCGTATTACCATCAGCAAAGGTTGAATGCTGAAGTAATTGCGAGGAGCGTTTCGTGATCTCCGATCGAACCGTAGACTTCAGAATAACGACGGCATCATCAAATTTCTCCTCCAACTCATTTCCAATTTCCTCAAAATCCAATTCTTCGAGCTCGTTGAGAACTCTTTTAAATGCCGTTTGAAGTTCCTCGATAAGTTCCAACCTCACATGAAGGCCAGAATCGTCAAAAGAACTCAAAGCCGAACTTGAAAGAGATTCCATTTACCGCTCCACTCTATTAAACATTGAAGTTGCCTTGCGCTTCAGAAATGTCACCCTGTTTGAATTGCCATTGTCGGTGACGCTTAGTTCTAGAGAACTTTCTAGAGACATATTAAGCAGCAACAACAACAACAATAAATGCAGCAGTTTCGTCGGTTAAATTCGGCTTCAGCGGGAAGATGAACGCAAAAGGGGAATAGCGAAAAATGATCCGCTACTGGTCTATATATCGCCTTATGTACAAGTTTGTGTAATATTATTTGCACAAATCAACTTATACGAATTTGTTTTGTTTATGGCCGGCCAACGCACAACGAAGCTGCAGCACCGATAAAAAGAGATATGCAGCTGGTGAAATAAATTAATTCTTGTGACTTGCACTGGGTATTTTTATGCACAAATCACGTCGGGGTCACCAATGTTTAGCTAATAAGCTTTTTTTATTAGCTGTGGAAATTAAAGAATTAACAAAAATTTTGAGTTCGATTTATGGGAGAGCAGCGATTTTATTTCGACGAAAATGAGTTATAAACGTTCCGAGAGATCGAAAGGAATTAATACAATTGAATTGAATCAAGACGCGGATCAGCCGATTGCTGACCGAAAGTATAAAGCAACAAGCAACGAGAGAGAGCGAATAGAAAGATAAAGAGAGAGAGAGCGATGGTAATTATGCAGATAAGCTAAGAGCTAGCATTAAGAGAATCTACATATCTGCTGCGTCTGGATGACCCGTCATACTCCCCCCGTTGGAAGCCTGGCTTTCAACAGCATCCTTAAGGGGCAGCAGACACAGCTTATTAACTGCTCGTTTTGTCACTCCAGATGTTGTCTTGAGTACGGCAACTCGAGCAACTCCATCTCGACCACACAGAAGCTCAACGACTAGCTAGGGGCCACTTCATCGGAGGCAAGTTCTCATCCTTAACCAGCACCACGTCACCGACAACTAGGCCAGGCTTCGGGGTACGCCATTTGGAGCGCTGCTGCAGTAGCGTCAGGTATTCTTCCTTCCATCGCGTCCAGAAGACCTGCTGCAAGTAGGCCATACGTTGCCAGCCTTTCAACCGATTGAAGTTAAGGTCGGTCACATCCGGCTCGATGAATGAGGATGGTGGGCCACCATTCAGAAAGTGGGCTGGCGTTAGCACATCCAGGTCAGCGGGATTTTCTGAAATTGAAACCAAAGGCCGGGAGTTAACTACTGCCGAGATATGGCACAGAAGAGTCCGCAGCTCGTCGAAGGCCAACACTGAAGGCCCAATAGCGCGGTAGAAATGGTGCTTCGCCGTCTTCACCGCAGCTTCCCAAAGACCACCAAAATGTGGCGATCTGGGAGGAATAAAACGCCAATCAATAAGCTCCGTTGCGTCTGGATGACCCGACAGCGGTATTATACGTTTTTGGTGCGCTGGCTCAAAAGCAACTTTGCAGTGTAATAAATGGCTTATTTTGTATATATCTTTATTGTTATCTTGCGTTTTAAGTTCAATTAAGAAGAGGGGGAGCGGCTTTTTTGTGTCATTGCGTTGAATGTTGTTTATGTTTAGTACTGTGTGCCCAAGGTCGGCTAGTTTTTTTCGGTAGCATGATGTACGTGGCGGAGTATTACTTTAAATCCTCTCTGGTCTTTCAGTCTGTACGTGTAAAATTTGGTCTCTTTGTCTTTAAGTAACTTTAGGATGTTTGTGTAGTGTATACTTTCTTGTGGATGTATTTTTATTTCGTTCGTTGAGAGTGCTTTTAGTTCGAACTTTGTGTCAGGCAGTGAGTTTAGTGCAGTTGTTAGTGCGTGGATATTTTCCACATTTTGTACGTAGATCAGTGGAGGTTTGGGTTTTCGCTCTGGTCTGTCCCATT